GTTCAAAATTCATGTACTTCTTAAATCACTAGTTTCCATTCCCATCCAGTGAACCACCATAGAGATTTAGATTGGGGATTTGTTGCAATTTGATTCCAGATAAGTGCGTCTTGTATTTGCTTTTAACTTTATCTTTTCATGAAGGTTCACATCAAGCATGGGTTGTAATCCCCCCTTTTCCCTTTGTCTCTGCGTCTTAAGTTGTTGATTGTCTACAGAAGACAGGATTTTGTATGTTATTGATGTATTTCTTTCCTCCCTTCAGGTTATGTGTTGCTGATTTAGGTTCTTTTTTGTTTCTTTTGATAATACTGAGACAGAAGATGGTGAAGAGGAGTCTGAAGGCCTAGATTCTGAAGGTGATGAGGTTTTAGATTTATCCAAGATCACAAAGACGAGGCTTATTCCTTCAGATGCTGGCCAATGTGTGTATATTTCAGAGCTTGTCTGTTTAGATTCTTTCTGTACTGGTATTCTTGCTGTTTAACTGTGGATGCTGACTTTTCTCTTGATTTCTTCCTTAATGGTGGTCAGTTTGTTTCAGATATTCTCCGTGTGTGCCAAGCTGAATCCTGATCCTATTGAAGGTGGGTCTCTCTACACGGTATGGAGATTGAAGATTATTGAGAAATGAGAACTTCTTTAGGTGTTTTATGGTGTGCTTACCTTTTTATTTCATGAAAATGTACTATTTTTGTTTCTTCTTGATGAACTAATTCCACTCTAATAAGTGTACTAGTCCTTTCAAGTAATGTAATGATGAAAATAGAGTATCGTCCCACAGTAGACTAATTAAGTACCAAAATTAATGAATTTTAATTTTATTTAAACAATTGAAATTAAATAATTTGAATAAATTAAATAACTAAACTAATTAAAGAAAAACTAAATTAACTTTGAGTAACACCAAGAATTAAAAGTCTAAGGCATCCAACTTCAACATAATTAACTAATATAAAATTTAGATCAATATACTTCCAAGGTATTTATTATTCAATTGACAGCGAGATTTTTTATTTTATTCGATATATTTTCTCAAGTTATACCAAACTTATATTCACATCTTAACATATGAATTTAAATAGATAAAGATGCATTATGTTTTATGAAATTCCCTAGTTTACATAGAAAATTAAGTTCACTTATCACTAATGCTGCACAAATCACGTTGATTCATCTTTGGTTTTTGTTTAATTCATGGTATATATTACTAGAAGCTATTGCATAAAATCTTCTCTCGGTCTCAATTATGTTCTCCAAATCAATTTTAATGGTGATCAATCATAAAAAAGCATTAAGAATAATAATATATATTTTACATAAAATAATAATCCTTGAAAGTATAAAATCATGAAATTTTATATCAAATTGATTAGGTTACATCTTACCCTTAGATAGCTAAATTAGTTCTTACTAAACATGATAAAATTTGAGATTAAATTGATGAACCACGATTCTATATCCAAACAAAGGAAAAAGTAAGTGTAGAAGAGCAAAAACCCAATTTGTGGAACACTAGAATTAGATTCGTAGCCTTCGCTGTCACGCCTGTCCTCTTCTTCAACTTAAATCCCCTCTGTGGCTGCCCTTAGTCCCCTCGTCACCCACGCAGCAATCCCCCTTGGTTTTGCCTCGTAGGTCCTTTTCGTCTCTCCGTCGGCTGCCTCTTTGATTTCTGCAGTCACCCGCTCGGAAGTCTTGCTTGGTCCACCTCCAAAATCCCCCCTCCTGGTTTTGCCGACCTCCTCCCTTTTTACATCCAACAATGTGCCCTTCTTTAGAAAGCCCATCTCATCTCCACAATGAGATAAAGCCCATAATGCTGTGCCATGTGTATGCAGGAAGAAAAATTCAATTCTGGTCTTCGAATGGGGAAATAATGGAATCAGACTTGATGTTTTCAACTTTTGTCACTTCTCATTTACTCTCGATTTTTTTAGTTTTACCCTCTACCTACAAAAAATGATAAAAGCAATGTAAAACCAAATAAAATCGTTCCAATAAAATATAAAAGACTATAATTCATGACTAAAAAGCCATTTATAATTGTATGAAATTTATGCTCATCACTTCTACTTTTTAGAAGATGAAGAGGGAAAAGGTTGGGTTTTCAGTGCTGATCAGATGGTAGATGAGGCTAGAGGTATGTGCTGCCTAAGGACTATTCTTCTTTTCTTGATGTTTGTTCATATTCTATCCTTTTAGTGACCGATCAATATTTCTAGAAAATGAAGATTCTGAATGGGATTTCTCCCACAATCCAGTGAGCTCTATTGGTCAGTCAAATGGCAATCATGACCTTGCTCATTCAGTGCTTCAGGTGGGCTGCTAACATGTTTGTGGTTCTCAAATATGATTGTGCTCCTTTGGGTTATGATTAAGTTTCCT